CCTCGAATATGGTTTTGCCCAAATGTGAATATGATGAATATGTCTGTACTTTTTTTGTGGAACTATACAATATTACATCATGATCAGAATCGTATCAGGCACGTTTGACTTGTCCATCCCTAGCTGCGGTGAGGGGGAACTCGGATCAGAACACGGCGGACTTTTTTTTGCTGCACAACATGTGCCATCTGCGCAGTAGTGCTGGGTTTCCCATCGGCTAAACAGGCAGAAGATGATAGAAGATGGACATTCTATAGAAGACATGGGCAAACCGCAAGCCATGGCAACCCAGGGCACTTTGCACACTTAAATTTATGCTCAAGCCTAGGGCCCGCTGGGACTGCTGTGTGGTCAATGAATTTCAGTGCTGGTAGGTTTCGTCACAGGTTCACAGTTTACATGATTTTTGATAGCTCAATATACCGTACTTCCATGTACTTCCATCTTACCTTGATTCGTTTCTATTCCTTGTGAGTTAATTTGGCGCTGCACCTGGGCCACGCGGTAGCAAATTGAATTCATCCCTTCTTAGTTGCCTTCGTTGACGCATGGCTGACCGCCGAGCTCAACCTTGGCGATTAGCCTCGTGGGAGGTGTTGCGGGCGGACTTTGGCGGCTAAAGCAGATCAAAAAAAGGAAAAACCATAAACGAAACCTTGCAAATAGATGCAAATAGTCATGTTTCATTTGCATTCATTTGCCAAGTTAAACTTTGAATGCATTCTTTCAACAATGGAAAGCATCCAACAATAATCCTGCTCCCTAATGCTAAACCACCCCCCTCCCCCTGATAACAAACACCCAGAGGAGCTTTTAATATTAGGGTGTATTCAGTATTAGGGTGCGAAGCTTCCCTGAATACTAAATTAAAAACCTTAAATTAATAGAAAACTAAGATTATCCATTTCAAAATCATTTTTTCAAAATCTAATTAACATATTGACTAACAATTGGAATTCGACATGTCCCCGAATATAGATTTAAGCATGCACCTTAATAAAAAACAAAAACAACAAGTTGTTTCAAAACCGATTAAATACATGTTTAACGTCTAATTGAAATATTTCCAAACATTTGATTTTGAAGGTTCCCCAAAACTGAATCTCTCAACCTTAATTTTCAATCACAAACACATAAAAAATAAAAACATCTATGCCAAAATCGTTGAAATACATTTTTTAATGTAATTAAAACGTTGCCAAAACATGGAATTCGACGGTTTCCCTAATATGAGATTAAACACCTCAATTAATGAAAAACAAAAACACAGTATAACACAGTTTTCAAGGACGGACCCTATAGTAAGGGGTGAAACCCTCAAATGGCACCTTGGTTTTGAAATTGTTTTCTAAGGGGATCAATTGAAAATCAAATTGGCCAACGTCAAATTTCCCAAAATCGAAAACAGACCCTAGTTCCAATATTTGGGGATTTACCATGGATTTACCATTGATTTACCATGGATTTACCATGGATTTACCAGGGATTTACCATGGATTTACCAGGGATTTAGGGTGCTGGTTGCTGGAGTTGCCTACAGCCGAGCCAGGACGATTTACGGAACAGCATCGCTAGCGTGTTTGTTGAGATGTGTTGCGGCCTCTTGAACGATATGGTGTATGGTGTAGCACGTGTAGCACCAATAAAGACGATGAACCAAACAAGGGCCTGGATAAGTTACAACATTTGCAACCCTTCCGCAGCACTGCCTGGCAATGGTAATGGAATATCCCTTTTTGTATACATAGATTGTGTTCCCATCAGGAGATTGTGTTTTACTAATGTCCATTGCTTTTTTTGAAGGGAAATGCTGATTTTTGCAGGAAAACATTTTTCTCCTTCTCCAATCAACATATATAGAGGACGTAGAGAGATGTCTGTATAGAGTTGTATAGCAGTATAAAAGAATATAAAAGCTATAAAGGTTTCGCTGGGGCATGTTTGTAGACATTGCATCAGTGTGATTTTTGTTGCGCAACAATTGTATGACACCCATTGCATTTGGCCTCGACAGTTATCATGGCCTCTACTGCAAAGCTATGGGCATTCAAGAGTAAGGATTGCTTCGTCTCGTCTTATCAACGAACGACTGACATCAATACGGTAATTCGTCGATATCGCAGGTTGCAATGAGTCAAATTCACTAGCCATGATTCGTGTGGTATCGTCATGTGCATCATGTTGTAGAGATATTATGAACAAGTTTGGTTGGGCCGATGGCTCGTCAATGCCCACGTCCACTATAATCGTGCTTCGCAAGCTCTTCGCGATCGGGCTTCGGTGAGAGATGAGGCAAGGAATTTTGCGTAAAACCGCACGAATTGGCTCTTACCAGTTCCTACCAGAACACCACGAGATACATAATCAATAGACATGGATCTACATGAATGGATAGAAATGAGTCAATACCCATAAACTGGGCGGAGTTGATTAGAAGTATGGAGCTCCTTTTGCTAGTAGGGACTACGTTGTTTTTACTGTCTCCCAACGAATGTTTTCGGTGCTCCCAAGCCACACCTTCAGTGGTTACTGTGGTTGATGCAGTTTGTGGGACAGTTTCATCAGTGATTTACGTTCAAGATCGTTCAAAAATGTTCAACATATTTCAAGATATTTCGACATTGTTTGGAGCGAGATGTCTTAGATTGTATTAGCATATATTATCATATATGGTATATTATGGTATGATGTTTTAAAATGTTTTCGATCACTTTCGATCCCTTTCATTTATGGCTCAGAGCGTCAGGTAATTTTCATCTAGGTGGAGGACGTTTTGGTGTGAGATGTTTGGCTTCAATCCGAGGTCTTCAACCTTTTTTTCAACCCGATGTCTCGAATGTAGTTTGTCAACACTGATTGTTTTGTTCCGTTTGCTTTTTTTTGAAATCCTAGGCGGGCACGGGGCGCATGGGTTTCTTAAGTGCCTTTGGTTACGGTTAAGGCTGGAGACATGAATACATTTCAGGACGATGGAATTTGAAAGGAAGGGATGCATAAATACGGCATAATCATTGATTTGCTGAATATGATTCATTTTTCGAATGGGAAATCCAGTACTTATGGGGAATCTATAGGGGGTGTCTTGGGGTTCCTTAAGCAAATCCAAGCACTTGACAACATATTTGAAAAGTGCAAAGGAGATTGTTACAACATATTTTGCATGGCTAAGGGAGCCTTTCCCCGGCAATCTCGAGCGACCTCACAGACCGACCTCATCCGATGATACATCAGGGGAATCATCCGAAAAAACGTAGCTTTTGAACCTAACATGCCCAGGTTCATCCATGCTCCAGCAAAGGCGCTCAGTTGGAAACCTGCTCCCCATGTACTGCGCCTGAGCTAGTGACGGCATCAAACAGTTCCCTCACCAGAAGTTCAGGCTGAGGGGCCTTAGGCTCTTCCTGGATCAAGACAATGTCAAAACTGCGATCCCCTCCTGTAAAGATCATTTATTGTCAGACATAGGGATTTGGACATTAAACTATCAGAGTACATGTGACAAGTTCCAGGTCCATAACCCTTTTCCTTTCAGAACGCCAGCCAGCTCTGTCCTAAAACTTGCGCAGGCAGCACCATGGGGGTCATGGTAGCAAACTAGCTGCCAATCTTATTGTTTCCAGCCTTTTGACCGCCGCGACGCGCTTCGGAGAAGAAAAGCGAAAGCTACTGCCGTCTACTATCGCTATCCATCACTGGTGCTTCAAATGCTATATGTTATGTTGCTAGTTTTTGTGTTTTACATATACATATAACTATATTACATATGAATATATAATAATTATATAATAATAATAATAATGCTAATAATAATAATCATAATAATAATATATATATATATATATTTATATATATCATTACAATCATTATATATCATTATATATCATTACAATCATTATATATATCATTATATATCATTATATATCATTATATATCATTATATATCATTATATATCATTCTCTGTATCATTCTATATCTATCTATCTATATATATATATATATATGCATGATATTCTCAATGCCGAAGTGCGTACGCCAATGTTGGAACTGACTCTGTTCCTTTGCCAGGGCGCCATTTGAGATTTCACGGTGACCTCCGTAGGTTTCATGCGCTGCGTTCACTGAGGATGGAAGTGGAAATCTTCTGAGAGCTGCCGCGCCATCAGAAATTCTGCAGAGAAATGATTCACAGAAAAAAAACAGCCAATAGTACCCTCTGGTAATTTAACGTAGCTATTGAAAATCACCATTTATAGTGGATTTTCCCATTAAACATGGTGATTTTCCATAGCTATCAACTGCGCAGTGGATATGTCATTACTGGAGCTAGAACCGTAGCTTCTGGAAGTTCATATCTGCCCAGATTTGTTCATGGGATCATGGTGTCACCTGTTTGTTTCACCAGCAGTTTGCACAAAGGTGCTGCGCTTACATGAGAAACGAGAAGCCTCTCATTATTTGGCGGTGACTGGCATTTTATATAATCATATACACTCATTACGTCAATTGTTGTTAAATTTGTCATTGTTTGAAAGTGCTGTAATCATATAATTTGTCTCGAGTGGTGACTGGCTACATCAGTTTATCAATTGTTACTTAGACTAGCTTTGAAATATCTAATCTAATAGCTTGATATAAACAAAAAAATGAACATTATGGAGACATGTTTGTCGTTGTTGAAATAAAACTAACAGACATAGACATGATGTGGTGGCCTTCTCTCAGGGCGTGGTCCTATCATTGCACCTTTTGAGTTCATCAGGAGCAATCATGAGGATACATTCTTATGAAAACCCTCATGAAATGATGAATCACGTTCCTTTGGAACCAAGTATTGGTTGATCCAACAATCTGAAACGCCCTCCAGAAGCAACTTACCGTATTCTTGACTTCATGGCTTTCATGGTTCGCAAATGTTGGCAACATTGCCAAGGCTAATCAAGGCTACTCGTCCCATAGCTGATGAACATACCAAGATCCCAGCATTTGTTTGCCAACAGCCATGCCGCGCGCGGAAGTGCCGCCAGATGATGAATGGTCGCAGGCAGGTTATGTGCAACGGATTTTCCAAACAAAGAGCGGTAAACGAAAATTTTACACTGTTGTTTTTGTCTAGTCTTTTCGGGTCAAGGTTTTCAAGACCCTCTATTCTTGGTTTACGAATTTTGTAAATGGGTCCGGTTTTTTGGTTGGGGACGTTGTGTTTGCCACATTGCAGTGTTTCAAGAATCATAATCAGAAGACGAGGTCTTTCATGCAGGCTGGCAATGTGCCCGTACGAGTGGTGTCCGCAATCATCCACAGAACAATGAGGCAAACTAGGAATATGATGGAATAGGTTTGCAACCATATCCAGAAACATACGCATGATTTGTTGTCTAAAGATGTTTAAAGATATAATATTTCGCAGCATTTTTCAAGATCCTATTATATAGAGCATATGCGCTATACAAAACATTAATCTATGATAGCTTTTGTACATCCGATATGCCTTTTGAAGTTCATGGTTCAGCACGCCCCCTCCATGCTGATCCTCTACAAAGTCAGGAGGCTGCTGAGACCTATTGGTGGGGCAGATGGCGAGCATCTTGGCGAGCACCTGCCGCATCACCCAGCTGCTGCAACTTAGGGGAGCAGATCATGGGCATCGACAAATGGCATTTCCAGCATGCCGCATGACATGCCATCGAGAGGAATCGAACTGAAAAGGCACATATCACATCATATCACGGTTACTGGCCCAAGTTGATCAGTTATCCGTCAGATTGTAGGCGTCGTAGAGTCGTAGAGCCCAGGTCCAAGGATATGTACAGATATTTTCTGTAGCCTGATAACTGATAAGGCTTTCGATGTCTACTTCAACCCCAAATGAAATGATGGGAATCTGGTTACGGGTGGGATGAAAGCTATTATTGTTTGTTGCACCTACAGCATTGTTCATCTTCAGTGGTCAATGTATGAGTTGCATTATATATAGTTATAATGAGTGTTTCTATATAATTATATATGGTCATATGTGATATACATACACTCACATTGGGGATGGTTATCAACCCACAGGTGTTTATATGCCCATTGTAAAGCATTATAAGGAATCCCTTCCATAGTGGTGGGATAGCCATGGCCCATACCATGTAACTGGAGCATGGTACATACAAGGTGGTGGTGCCTGCTCGGTTACTAATTTAACTATACATATATATATATGTGTGTTGCATAAGTTACAAAAATTCACCATAAACCCATGGCTCATCAATTGAACAGTCTTCAAAGCGTCGCTTCATGATCAAGTATAGGGGATTATACTACCCTTTATACATTGGGGACAACAGAAACCAATAAATATTGGTAATCCTCTCTATATTATGATCCCAAATAATATAACCCGTGGATTATCCCTTTATATATTGGGATGGATTGACTTATTCCCTCCAAGACCGGGGAACCCGGTTCTTAACCAACGTTGGCTTCAGGACCCCTCCACCAGCTGCTACCCTTGGCTCTATGCCGACGGCATGCCACGCGGGATCCTCAAAGATGGCCATTTGATGGGGACAACTCATGGTGATTTAATGATTCACCCGCAATCATGGTGATTTAATGGTGATTTAACCAACAAGCATTAGGTTTTTTTGTGGTAATATGGTGGTTAACCATCAACAATTGTGATTTAATGGTGATTTAACCAACAAACATTAGTTTTTTTTTGTGGTAATATGGTGGTTAACCATCAAAAACGGTGACTTATATAATGGGATTCAACCAGCAAACATGCTGATTTTATGTTGCTTTACTGGGATATAATTGGGATCTCCGGGGTATACCCTCCGGAAATCTGACATGGCTGGGAAGTTCCCCGAACGAAATGGAGGTTTTAAGGGAAACAAATCATACCCCAAACATAGACACCCCAACGAATCACCCAATTTGGAGGAACGATGAGGAAAGTAGTCTTACTGGTAAATTGGGTGATTTAATGGTGATTTAATGGTGATTTAATGGTGGTTTGATGGTGATTTAATGGTAATTACCATTACTATAATGCTGATCAACCATTTGCTGATGGCAGGGTCTGGGATGGTTAGCGGACATCGACTCACTGGCCATATCGAGATCTGGCGGAGTTTGGGGTCAAAAGATGACCCCCAAAGATTGCCAGCCCGCGCCACACTGATCTTCATATTAAATATTATAATATTTTAAAATATAGATATAAATATATATATATATGTGTGTGAAAAAAAATAAATATATATATATATTTATTTATTTATTTATTTATTTATTTATACAGTATACATATGTAGCGCCACACGTCGCCACACTATTCTATTCAATATTCCATATCATATATTTATAAGGGGGGCAAGATATGTGGCACTCGTAGTCCGGGACAGCGGCTCCGCTTAAGGTCCTAGCCATCCGATGAAGGTACCGAGCAAAGCCGAGAGATGCAGTGGGGTTGTAACCAAGGGCGAGATCTATGTCATACTGTGGATGGACAAAATCCTCCACCAGTTGGTAAATATTGGGTAATATGGGTAGTAACTGTGATACACTTTCAATCATGGGATTATAAATTATGATTATAATGGGAAAAACATCAAATGGTCCAGGATTTCTTCCATCTCAGAGTAGGTGGCAACTAAAAGTGTCTAATCATGTCTAATTTATTTTGGAGGATTGATCCAAATAACTTGCAAGTGGTAGGCAGGTCTTTGTAATACACTGCGCGTTTTTGGAGAGTCTCATGACTCAGCCACCCATGATTCCTTCAAAACAATGATGCTAGGATATACCAGGATCATCCAGGATTCAACTTAACTCAGATGCTGCTGGCAACATGCCACCCCATTGGCCAGACATCATGGCATTGCCCCAGGATTCTCATTCTGTTCTCACTTGCTCAATCTTGAGGGAAACTTTTCAGAACGAAGACGTTCTTGAAATGGGCACGACTCAAACCTGAAATTGAACATATAGATCAATGATGATCAATGTGAGCAACCTCTAGCATGTGCTGCAATGTTGTGCTAATACTTTAGATTTCTTCATGCAGAGTGTACAGCTGTAGCTATAATCTTGAATCAGCGTATGTGTTTTAATCAATTCAATGTCGTAATGTCACGAATTCTTGCATGATGCTCTATGGATAGATGGGGATTGGTGCTTTCTGGTTGGCCATGGTCCAATGGTCCTTGGAACCACGGAACCACAACAGGATGACTGGGGTGTGCAGCCTTTTCCTGTCCGGCAACTCGTGGGTGAGCAGGTATGGTGGCATGGTCTGGCTGCTTATAGCTGGGAAAATCCATGAAACTCATCATCAAACTGGATGGGCTATTTCCCATGGCCATGTTTGATTACTTCAGGGCAATCATGAGTTGCCACAATTTGCCAAGGAACATCTAGGCATGAGCAGATGTTCGGTGTATGTTGCTGATCACAGGTGAAATCCGCATTTTTTGCGACCGTTTTGAGGTCGACTATGAGTCTGAATGGGCCCAGGGACGAAAGCAGTGGGAGGCTGCACAAATTTATGTTGCCATGTGTTGGTTCCAATTTATAGATCTCTGCAAATTGCCCAGATATAACAGGGTTATAGATCCATTTGGTGTCCAAACCTACCGTTGTTTTTGCCAATGTACAAATTGGTACCACTTTAGTCAGTCATTAGTGGGGACAACTGTTCACCCAGTTTTGGCGCATGTCCATGGACTATGAGCGAATGGCAACCCCAGTCATGCATGAAGAACCCCAGCAGAGGTCGGTGAGATTTTTTTCACTGTAACAGCCGCTTGGCCCTTTGGTATTTCCTAGCTACCTCTACGTCTTGCAACAATTTAAGCTGTTGGTGATTATCAAGTGATTAGTAAAACCAAGGAACATGCCCTCAGCTCATGCTGAACCTTGAGATGGCTTGAGGAAATTAACATCGTTAAACCAACAAATGTGTTCCAGACCACCCCCAAGCTGTTCGCTTGGGCTTGATTGAAGAACATGTGTTCTTGCCTAAAACTACCAAAAGATGAGCTTGACTCTTCACACATATGTGAAACATTGATGACATCCTCATTTTGACGCTGAAATCAAGATCAGTCCCCTGTTGGCTAGTTGACATGCATTTCCAATTTCATCATATTTCAATATATGTCATCCATTTTCTATAATATGATGCTATCCATTTCCCAAAAAAATACAGATTTTACTCCCCAAAAAATGGCTCAAGATAGCCATGGAACGGACGTCGCAGGTCTACCTGGAATCCTATGACGCCTGGCTTCGGGAACTGAGCCGTTTGATCGAAGTCTACAAGCGAAAGGCCCGGATCGGGAGAGATCGACAGATCACCAAGGGATGAGACGGTGGGGGAAATATGGTGATATCATGGGTATATAATATATATATATATAATTATTTATCAATATATTAATGGATAATTATAATATATATATATATATAACCAAAAGAATCCAAAAAAGATGCTAGATGCGAAAAAAGGGATTTTCACCAACAATGAAGGATTTCGCTGCCAAAAAGAGGATTCAACTGAAAATTGGGCATTAACATGGCATTCAATCTATGGTTTCCAATGGCATTAAATATCATTAAATGGCAGTAAATCTATGAAGAATATGAATAGGTCGCCCAAGTTCCTGGTTTCTCAGACCTGGGATATTCAGATCCAGACTTCATCCTTGGTCGAATCCATCGCGGAGGTGGAGGAAATGGACTATGAGGAGAGTAGAGAGGTCCCGAAAATCCATGGGCCACGACAATCTTGACGCCCGGCACGACCACTTTGATACGTGTATAATCTACTTTTAAACAGATAAATGGGAATGTATATATATATATATAATAGGTATAATGAATAATCTATTTTGACCAATCGTGGTTGTGTCAGAAATTCAGATGTGCGAAGAAACTTCGCAGATACCTCTGAGCTGAAATGATTTATTTCAAGAGCGAGGCTGGTCCCTACTGGCCCCCATCGTTTCTTGTTTTCAATCACATGACCAGGCATTTGCGTATAGGGAAGCACTCCAATCAGCGATCATTCTTGCAGATCTTGCAGCAGGTGTACCAGGGAAAGTATCCAGATGCTCCGGAATACCCAGCTGCTGACGTCAGGACACCCAGAGGTTCACAAAATTTTTGGGACTCAGCTTAGGTCCAACTTAGTTATGACCAGATGAGATGATAAACCTTTGGTTTCTTACCTGCCTCGACTGCTTCAGTAACATTTTAGTACAGCAAGTTAAGTTACTTAGAATTTGGAGCCCGGTAGTTTCACTATGTTTCATTGGCCTTCTCTTCATTTTTTTAATTCAGGTTCTATGTTCAGATATGTTCAGCCATTTTTGGTCATGTCCCAGTTTATTGCTCTTGTTTTATTGCATCAAAATCACCAGTAGAAATCTCAGCCCCGTTCCTTGCGGATCGATCCGGTGGTCACCACCGCGAGGCCAAAGTGCTGCAAGCTGCCGCGGAGCCGGATGTGGTGGCCTTGGCGGATGCCTTGGAGGATCCCTTGAGCGATCCCTGCTGCAAGGCACCAAGGGTGGAAACGAGGGCTGTTGAAATAGTATATTTATATATATACACAATATGGGAATATATATATATATATATATATTTAGTATGTTTATAATTATGTATGCAATGAATATTAAGAGGCCATTCGTTCATATTGGACATGTATGTATATATATATATACATATATATATACATACATATATATATATATACATATATATATACACATGTGTGTGTATGTTTGTTATGTTATGCTATGCTATGTTATTGCTAATGCTATTGCTAATTCTAATCTAATGTATGTGTGTAAGCTCAAGAACTCAAATGTGGATGGGCCATATTGGCCCTCCCAAAGCGATATATATATATATATATAGTTTAGTGTAAAACACAAACTGTGTTAGGCTATCGCGCCCCTTTTTTCGATCCATACCCAAATAGAGCAGCCAAAATTGCGGCAGTTCGACGTTTAGACTTTGATTTTTCAACACGTGCTAGGCATGTGCAGAGTTGGATCACGTGTTTGTGAATCATGATTGATTATCCACTGTTATCATCTGTTATCCCCAACGCTGAATGACTTCGCCAGGATTGCGCGCTGTGGACGCCTCTGATGTATGCGGCCATGGCTGGCAGTCTGGAGTGCGTCGAGTGCCTTGCGAAAACGAACGCTGAGAGATTTGAAAGAGTTGGGAGTGACCCTCAGGCCTTGTGGTGATCTACGGCCGGAAAATGCCATGGAAAATCATGAAATCTGAGACTTGAACAGAGAAAAAACTATAATACTCTTGGGGGAAGTAGATGATTTCCCCCTTAGTGGGAACCAGGAAATTATTGTCCATTGCCATGGTGAAGTGCCAGAGGGTAAACCTGACCGTTTCCATCATCTCTGCCATGCGAGTACAGCAGCCTGCAACACGGAAATCTCCGCACGGACGTGGATGGATTTTGCTGTTTGCCTTAAGGGGATATATAAGGGAATATGGGATATGGGATGATATGGGAATCTATCCAAGATAGATTTTCATATTTTTAAAAAAATACTGCACATGTTTATGCCGAAAAAGCACCGCAGATTTCTGAGGAAATTTTGACGGATTGTGACGTCGCACGCCGATGTGACCATCTGCCCAAGGTATTTGATCGATATGGGAGCTGACCCAGCTGCTCTCAACTTGCAAAAGGAGATGCACTCTTTTTCTTGACCTGTAGACCCTTCATGGCCCTTCCTTCGTTTTCCATTTGTTTGGAGTGAAGCTGCAGTAATTTAGGAATGGTTGAATACCCGGACTACCTTATTTTGAGGGATGAACATCCATTTACCAGCTATTTGGAGGTTCAGCAAGGTAGAAGGGCTTTGACCCATAGCCATTTGATGAAGTCTACAGGTCTATCACTGAATCTGAGCCAAGCCGCTGTACCAGGGTTCCCATCATCTCGGATGCCTTCCCTGATCATGATGCGTAGATCATGCCCCACCAAAATTTTGGGACCGCTCACCCAAATGTCTTGGTACATCCCAATGGGGCAGGACGCGGCTTTTGACATTGCCATCCAGCAATTTGCCAAGAAAGAGTCCCGGCCCCAGTTTTCTCCACAAGAAAAAAATGGGGTCAGATCCAGGGTCATCATGTGAAAGATAAAGGAGAAGCGTTACAAAAATGTTTGCATCCTGTGTTCCCTGCGTTTTTTCTCCAATGCTGAATGCATATGATAGGAGGATGCCTGCGATATAAAAGGTGTGGCTTGGTGTTTGATTGGATTTGGTATGCTCAAATATGCCATGATTTTTGGGTGGATGTTCCCGAAACTGGACTTCCCATGGGTTTGCTGCAGGCCCGACCATCCAGTGATCTACTTCTTTCAGGAGGAGGGGATCACCCCTGACTTCAAGCTATCAGGGCTGTTGATCCGTGATGAACTAAGAGACGTTAATACAGTTTTGAACTGATTCATACAGCTGTCGATGATGATGTCAATGATGTCGATGATGATGATGATGATGATGATGCAGATCTTGGATACCCTAAACCAATTTGATCCAATTTCATTCGCTTTGAGCTTTCATGTAATTTTACATGCTGCTTTATTTTTTCGCTGATGGCGTCAGCTCTCCACCAGCAGGTCAGAGCGCCACGCGGACGGGGTTGGCGCTCAAAGCTGCAAGTGCCAAAAAAGGACCATGGGGAAGGGGCCCTATGGTTGTTTCTAAATGGTTCGCCGGTTTGGTGGTTTCAAATATTTATGGTTTTTCAACCATGCTTGGGATGATTGGTTTAAACCACCAACCCGTTCTTCTACTTTTCATCCTACTTAAATAGCTGGGATAGTGATCTCAGCTACAGCATATTTGTTGGGGAACCATCAGAGAATCATGAGCCCAACAGTCCCAAACAGATGATGAATTAGACGACAGCTTTGCGCATTTGCAGGTTTATTTGGCAGAAGTTGGTTGTCTAGCAGCGCATCGTCATGCATCGTCCATACTTCTTCTTTCACCAGTTTTCCCGGGCGTGGAATTTTAACATAGTTTAGTATCAGTATATCTCGATTATATAGTTTTTTTGATCTGGACAAGTTTAATCGACCTCGCTGGAATGATGATTATATTAGTAAGTGTACCTATCCCAACATTGACTTATTTCAGACTAATGGATCAATCAAACATTATCTCCGGTAATTTGCCAAATGCAGTCAGTGGAGCACCATTGCCTGAAGACCGGTTGAGTACCAGCGAGCGTGACTGGTCGGAGTTCGTTCTGTATTCAGAGCACGTGTGGCAGCAGACAGTTGTGAAACAGAACGAAGCATATGGCATGGTATGTTGATATATTTTTATTTATCAATTGTTAATGAAAATCGGTCTCTTTAAATGTCATATATATATAATATACGTATATATATATATATATGTATGTGTGTGTGTTTGTGTGCGTGTATGTGTGTGCTTATGGGTGTAGATATATGATATACGGGCGTTTTTTTATATATTAAAGAATTACTTTATATAATTACTGTACATTCAGTTTGTATATATTATATTATTATATTGTGTATATATATATATACTGTAGTATTTATGATCATTTAAATCAGGGAACGCTCATGTTCATACATTCTCGCGCTACAAACTGTTTGCTCACCGGGCAAGGAGTTGCAAAAGTGCAGTGGACTTATCAGCTTGTTCTGCTGGGCCACTTGAGAACTCCTTGAGACAACCCTTTTTGGTTGATGATCATAGGGGATGATACTATCAAATATATTGATTGTCACAATCCATGAGCTGCAAATCCCTGTGAACCATGCAGCATACTGAAATGACAGACGGTCTTGAACATTGCCCACTAGGCTAGTCGCTGGATCGTATGTCAGCTATGCTGTATGGGGTAGCTGGAGCAACATCTGTGACTGCTGCTCGGCCTAGGACGTCCCTTCACATCTGCAATTCTTTTGGCTAAAAGTATTATAGTTGTAGCTGATCACATGCCCAAGACATCCGAAGACCAGAGCAAAGATACGAACACAGATAGCGTTCGCTTTGCCTGAACAAGGCAGTTGAAACAAGCCTGAACAAGGCTAAAGAATCTTGCACGGGTATGGAGTGGAGCAGCCTTGTTTCTGCCAGCTGGCGCTCCATGTCCCACTACAATGATTTGAGCCTGAGAAGGCTATGGAGAGTGCAAACCTGAGGAAGAATCGGCTATGAAGGTCACCGTGTGGCTGGTTTCCATGTATTTACATATATTTACATATATTTACATATATTTACCATTATTTACTGCAATCCGTCCATGCTTTTGTTACGCAAAAGCACATCATCCCACAGGACTCCTGAAACATCACAGCTTTAGCAGCGACAGTGTCCAGGATGTATGCTTTTTGACCTCAGAATTTCCATGGTGTCCGATGTTTCTATGTTTTGGGGTTGCCGAAATTAGCTCACCGAAAAGGTCCTAAAAATAAAAAAATGGGTTTCTCACTGATCATTTTTTTTTGAGCCCTATAGTGTAATATTTGTATCAATATATCCACCATAAAAACCAGTTAGCCATAGTCAGCCATAGTTCATAAACCAACTGACGCCACCTTTGTGTACGGATGCCCTGCCATGACCTTGGCCTCGGATGGCTGGCCCTCTTGGGTCTGGCGCAAGCGACCTGGCGCCCGCTGCTTGGGGGAGTCAGGCAGATGAGCGGATCACCGGTGCCAAAAATGTTAGGAAGTACTTAGAGAATCAGCCCATTATAAATGATTGCCACAAGAAGGATAAATCATTTTACCATATGTTACCATATGTTACCTCTATATTTACCCAACTTCTCCCCTAATGTTTGGAGCTCGGAGCAACCCTGTTATATAGTAGCTGGTCAGTAACCACATGACTGCAAATCCATTCATAAATTCATAAATGGAATCGCCCACTTCATTGGGAGTTACTTGCATGATCCTCCAAGTACTCTGACATGAATGGCTTCGCCAAAAATGATTAGGAGAAATTACCAGGGGCAAAATCATGCATTTGCCAAGAGAACGTCGGAAAGGAACATGGAAGGTCTCACAAAATGCTCAACCCACCATGGCACCCTGCAGGCACACGGTGGTAGTGGACAAACCGCAGACTTCAAAGAGTCACTGGGCCAGCAGTTTTCAAGCATTGGCGACCCCCAAGGCCATTAAGAACTTAATAACAAGCTTGTGATCTATTTGAGCGCTAGTGGTGACATCCAATAGTTTCACCATGTTCCATATAATGTGGTAAACCCAATCAAGGATCATCCTTAAATACCAGACATTGGTGACAAGAGTCATCCCAAATCGATCCAGTTTGTTGGGGGCACCAACCTGGTTGGGGCTCTCCGATAAGGCGAAGCTTCTGTGGCATGGACACAGCAACTTCATTTGGCCGGGAAGGCCTGGCCCTGAAGCCTTGGAAATCCTGGAAGCGCCACGCCCAGCCAACCTTGGGCTCATCGGCTTATCGGGAACTCAAATCGCCAATTTTGATCGTGCTTGATTCATGTTTAAAGAAAAAACGAAATCTGTATTAATCTGTATGATGATTTGTATGTTGTAAATACCTAAGAACAAACCAGGGCTAGCCAGATCCAGCGACATTTTTGACACCTCAGCCCTGAGTACCAGGCGGCACGTTGCGAAGTGCGCAACGCATTGCTGGATGAGAAGCACAAGGAGGTGTCTGAATGGCACAGCCGTGGGAGCGAAAGGCGCTTAGAAAGTGGCTAGTGCTGATGGTGAGTGAATCCTTTACAATTCAGCCAGGCTTTCAACCCGTCAAACACGTATTTTTTGTTGATCATGATATGTGCTTTTATATGTTGTTGTTAAAAAAATAGGACCTTAGGAGTATCCCGGTGATTGGTGTAAAATGATGCTTTGCCACCCGATCCGATGTGCCAGTGGCGAGTGCATCTTGTACCTCGGGTGGCGTTGACATGGATTCACATGTGCCAGGTACAACAAAGATATACCAAGAGTATAGTATTGAACATATACTATTATTGTTTGTTTTATAATGGTCATTATTTCGATTGTTACTGATATTTGTATTGTTTTCTGACTATGATTATTATTAGTAGTACTATTAGTTTTTTTTTAATATGTACAACTTATGCATAAGTCAATTTGCACATGTGCGATACCAAATATGTATTATATATATATGTATATAGTTATAAAATTGATATTATACATATATATTTATATATGTATATATCTATATGTTTGTTTGTTTGTTTGTTTGTTTTTTTGTTTGTTTTTTTGTTTGTTTGTCTGTTTGTCTGTGTGTTTGTCTGCTTGTCTGTCTGTTTGTCTGTCTATCTCTCTATTAATCTATCTATCTATCTATCTGTCTATCCATCTATCTATCTATCTGCCTGTCTATCTATCTACCTATCTATCTATCTATCTGTCTATCTATCTAACTAACTATCTATCTATCTATCTATCTGTCTATCTGTCTATCTGTCTATCTGTCTATCTGTCTATCTATCTATCGATCGATCTATCTATCGATCTATCTATCTATCTATCTATCAAATCTAGCTATCTACCTATCAAATCTATCTGTCTATCTATATTTATCCTATCTAGCTATTTATCTATATCTATTTACATTTATATATATATATATACATATATATCTATTTACATATATATATATATATTTATCAATCCATATGCCAAGAAATCTAGAAACCCATACTGATAGATATAGCTGAGGACCTGGCAGCCCGCTGGGCTCCCTTGCGGCATCGCTGCCATGCCTGGCGCAAGGTGAGGTTAAGACTGACACAGTGACACATGGTTTGAGCATCAAGCATTGGGGAACTTTACATTGAAAATTGCATTTTTTTGTAGACTTGACATGACTTAACCAAAGTTTGTAGTTTATATCACTCATATCCTTTCGATTGTTGTTTTTTTTCAGGGTCGATGTTGGTTTGGAGAGGGAGGGGATGTGCAGCATACATAGTCTCTCTCGCTCGCTCTCTCTCTCTCTCTCTCCCTCTCTCTATCTCTCTATTCTTGTTTCTCTATCTCTCTCTCTATATATATATTATTTGCATACATATTTACAAGTGTATATATATATATCCATACGCATACCTGTGTGTTGGCTACTCAACGGGTTATACAACGCTTAATTTGTTTGACAGTTGTTTGGAAAAATGGTAGGCAAAATGATAGGTCGATAGACTAGTGCCTAATGTTTGGAGGATTACTCTCATCTCCATAATTAGTTTTGTTTCTGGGCGGAAAGAGAACCTAAATTCAGGATAGATCCTATATAGGTATTGAAATGTCAAAATATTTGGAGACAGACAGTTCCATAGCGACCAGGAATGCAGCAGCAACAGCAGCAGTGAGGAAAACACCGGGGATGATGATGACGATGATGACGACAATGATTCCTGTGGTGACAGTGATGAGGATGAAATGTAGTTCCCTCCTTTCTGACAGAGATTTGACCAGAGATCAGAATCTGTTGTTTTCCAGGAGGAAAAGATCATGTTTTGGTTCAATATGTTCCATTCGGTTTTCTCCAACCTCGGGACCCGGGGATTCGTTTTTGCGGATAAGGTGAATGACACCGGGGTGCCATGGGACTACCGTGACAAGCCCAGGAACTTGGGGGCCTTGAGAGTATGAAGCCGGACTGGAGACCAAATTGTTCTTTGTTTGCTTGGAACCATTATATGATCCTCTTTTGCTGGTTCCAATTTTGAATAAGAGTCTCAGATGCCATATCCATTTTTTTTTCGGATGAACTCAAACGAACCAGTTAAAATTATTTCAATGTGTGCTTGGGGTGGTCTAATTCCCGAAAGCCAAAAAGCATGTTTTTCTCACTTGAAACTATTCCCGACCAGTTGTTGGAGCTCCCGACAACACCAGACAGTGAGGCATTTGCTTCAATAGCGATGTGGTGGCTTGGGCTCCCAAGCCCTTTCTGCAGCGCATCGACTTAGGCGATTTCTTTGCGGGACAGCGGCTGGCGCGCTGTGTTGGGTAGATATCAAATCAAACGGAGGTCTGGAAATGGTTATTTAAAAGTCTGTAATATTTATAATCAATATTTTTTGGTTAACATTTCAATTTATTGTGTTTATATATACATATCATTTGTATGGTTATTTATGGAAATATAATATTTATATTATAGAAGATATGTCATGGACATAGTGTGGGATACACTGTAGAATGAAAAATCTTGTATGCGAAGGTAGGAGAAACAAAACAACAACAACAATTTTAAGAGGAAAATGTGATGATGACTTGTGACATTTGTGGATACCAACTTTCCGAGAAACCAACCGTCAACATGATGTCACGAATTGATTTGTCAGGTTGGTACAATTCCAGCTATGACGAAGATCATCCAAATGGTTCTGTGTCGCTGCACTATGTGATTTTCGGTGGCACAGCTGGGGCTGATTGATCGCCCCTGGTTATCTTGGCTGAACAATCCACCATTTATGGCTGATTTTTTTCCATTGACATAACCATCATTGAAGAGACTTTCCTGGCTAGCCATGTTCAATCGCCAGAAGGTATGTACCGTGTATGACAATAATCCACGGAATGAAGCATGATGCAGGCAGTCAAGAGGACACGAGATATATTTGATGTACAGGGGAAGTGACGACGCTTCAAACAGGTTGGATTCCAGGAGCCACCGATCATACACACCCTCGAGCAAACCAAGTCCATGCTGGGGAGAAGCAGCCAAAGATTCTCATAGACTCATAGATGTTGGGAGAATTTTCACCCTATACCAGACATGGTTTGAGGATTGATGATGTTTGAGGGACAATCTGGAGATATCTTCAGAAAATGCAAAGCTACACGTGTTCACTTCGACGAACCTATCCAAGAATTGGTGGAAGGGAAGAGTTCCAGGGAACATGGAAACCTTCTACTTGCGGGTGAAGACCCAGCGGCCCAGCGTTTCCCATATCTATCTGATCGATCGATCGATCGATCTATCTATCTATCCTTAGAGATGCCCTGGTTAAACATATATATATATATATCTATCTACCTATGTATCTATCTAATGTTAAGTTCATATTATCTAACAGCCCGTTTTAATCCACACCCTCAATCCAAAAAACGTGTGGCAATACTACTTTGGGTTGGTCTCCCCTATTAAGCAACATGGGTCGCCACCCCTATTTAAAAACAGCCTTCTGGATTTTTTTTTGTGGTGAAAAGGTGATTTTTTCGGTTCTGGGTTTGGAGATGCTCTATAGTTACATATGTCATTATACAGATATGTTTATATATATACAGTACATGTTTATTTATATATATATAATATATATACATAATATACATAACATACATAATTATTTTTTTTAAGATATTGAAGAGACTCAAGGCACAGAACCTTAAAATCTAGGATGCCCAAAATTTTCTGATTGAAAAAATGCATTATTACTTTCTTATTAAAGAAATGCATTTTGAGAAGCTCACAAAGGGTACCCCTTCAGGTGGGTTGCCCCCCCAAGAATGTGCATGTGCACCCCCAATTAAGAAACACCCTCAGCCCTCGTGGCCATATATTGATTTCAATTTCTTTCTTATCCTTTAAATTTAAAAGGAAAATCGATTGAAAGTTAATTGAGTTCAATTGAAATCCTTACTTATCCTTTAGATTTAAAAGAAAAATCAATTGAAATTGAATTGATTTCAATTGAATCCTTACTTATCCTTTAGATTTAAAAGGAAAATCAATTGAAAGTAAATTGATTTCAATTGAAATTCTCACTGAACATCTCATGAATCCCAATTTTTTGTTTTGCTTGTCATTATTTGGGAGGGACAACCTTCTCAAAGATCTAGACCTTCTGGGCCAGGGGGGAGCGGTTGATTAATACGAACTTGACATTATTTGTTTATCTATTTGCAATACATATTTTGATACAATATGTATTCAATATACGTGTATATGTATACATATAATAGGTGTATAAATAAATATATATATATATATATACATATATAATAGGTGTATAAATAAATATATATATATATCTATCTATAAGATAGAGTTTCCCTCAAACCGAGCCATTGAATCCACCGTCCTATCCAGGAACTCCATCACCCGCAGAGAAGTCGCGCTGCAATGTCACTGTGGACAGGGGCCTGAAATCACATCGTGGACCACAGGCGGGGTTTCTTCCAGGGTGAGGTAATTCAATGGTAAAACCCAGCCAGTGTGATACAACGTACAGTGAGTAAATCTTTTTGCCCGGGCAGCTCCCCTCGTGAAGTGAGGAATCATTCCCCAGTGGAACGCTCAAAGGATGCAATTCCGCGCAATCCTCAAAGATTTGGAGGCTGAAACACCACCCAAACTGAGATGGTGAAATAGTCAATGGTTTTGATATGTCCCCAACAAAGGAAAAACAAGTGAAGTTTAGTGGTGAAATGTCAGGAAACAACAGGGAAATTGGAAGATAATTGTGAATGATGAACAGATATGAACAGTCCATAACAGTTCATATTTGGTTATGTCATTGCTGGTTGGGGCACTGGCAGGCCACAACCACACCCTGCATCTTGCGCTGCCGACGTGCTGTCGGTTAGCACACGAAGATGGGGCCAGACCTATGCAACTTGGCCGCAAAAAGGGCGATATTTGGTGTATTTCCCTGGTGTGAAGCGGCAGGACATTTTGAAGAACGAGAGTTCCCTTGGCAAATGATCTATAGATGTTTTTTTTTTTCATCTATGCTGCTTTACAGTAGGATCAGTAGGGGATAAAATGCTAAGTCAAACTAGATTTAGGTGTGTCATCACTGCAGCACAATAACGTTGAGCTAGTGATCATGCTGTTGAAACGACAACTGCGCACCACAAAACGGATTGGTATGCCCTCAATAATAATGCTAGCCCTGTGCACTTTAATTTGGGCCATGCCTCCATGATTCTGTCATGGAAAGTTCCATGGCCAAAAGAAGTAGATCACCGAATTTGCAGTGTTGATAGGCGCGCTTCTTGCAGCACCTTTCTTTGATATGCATATATAATTATGTATTTTTTCCCTGATGGGCCGAGGTCATTTAACATTGACATCACCCCCAGTCTTTGTTCGACAGTAGCGAATGCGTGTAGGTCAGTGCCCGAAATCTTCCATTGGCTGCTAGCGCCTGTTGCGCGCTTGGAACAACCCTGTTTGGGACTGAAACGCGGCAGTTGGGACTACACCCTTTGTTTCGAAGAGAATATCTCTCAGGCGCATTGGGATGCTGGCTGGGGTGCATGCGAACCTACATTTCCAATGATTTGATTTGTGACAGCTCCATACTGTTTGCATTTCATATAAAATTGATGGTTGTATGTTATATTACTGTTATATGTTATCATATTGGTGATTATCGGTAATGTGGTTATGTTTGTGGTCACCCCCTTAATGTTACTAGTAGTGATATATTCCCTTAATACTGCCGCCATCTTATTATGTATCTGTGTATGACCCTATTAATTTATATTGTCATATGCTATATCACTATGTAGCAAACGTTGCTGCATCGTAGTATCATTATCATATGTCCTCGCCAGGCATCCTTGAGCCGTTCCCCAGCAACTGCCGAAGGGAAGGCGCACAAACTACCCAGCCTCGTGTAAAGGCGATTAACACATAAAACAACATGATTATACACACATGTACATAGATTATAAGTGCATGTCACCATATACACATGCAATAAATAAATAAATATATATATATTAGTACACACACACACATATATATATATATACACATTTGTATATATATTATCTTTATGTTTGTGTCTATGGATACCCTGGAGTATGTATATAATTATCCATCATGTTTGGACCTTCTCACCAACTTTTACGCAGCCAGATCCGGGCGACAAATTCCGCCGCCAGGTCCCACCAGAAGTGCTCCTTGCAGGGCCGCCTCCGCCGGAGGTCGTGACTTGGTGATGGGTGATGTATCCCAATGTATGGAGGATTTCACCATATTTCACCCTAAATATGCGTTTTTTAGGGCTGAAAAGCTGAAAGGGACATGTTTACATAAATAAATATATATATATAATATATATATATATTCTGTAACCAGCGATAATGATTTTATTATGTTTTATGTGTGTGTGTGTGTGTTGCGTGTTTTTTTTTTAAATGGGGACGTGCATTTAAACACAAACAAACACACATGGGGACAAAAAGCAAGAATTGGGATATGTTTGCAGAAAATGTGTTTCAAATCGTTGTTGAATACCTTCTGGTAATCTAACGTGGACAGGAAAATGTTACCCTCCGGTAATCAAACATGTCTAGCTGGGAAACCCACGAAATTGTAAAATGGGAAGACCATCTATACATTGGGCATTTTCCAATGCCATGTTTGAGCATTAGAGGACAAACATGAGTAGAAACTACAATTAAGTAAAGAAAAACTACGAAATCAATTCCTAGAATTTGCGGTCGAAGATCGGCACACCAGTTGGTGATGCATCTTATATGTTTGTTTTTTTGCTGAGTGCAGGTTGGAAACTTCGTCTGAAACACATGTTCAACTTTAGGCCAAAAAGACATGTCAATTCAAGTCCCTCTCCAATTGGTGATCAATTAATGGGCCTATCAGTGCAAGACTGTGGATCATACTCCGGCCGGCCAAGGTCCCACGTTTGGTGACTGCGGAGCCGGTGGTTCGTGGGCAATCGGTAGGCGTAGGCCGGCAGAACTCAGCGGTTGAACAAGATATTCACTTGGTGGTCTAAGTTTCTTTTTCCAGGATCATGATCCACAAGATTCCACAAGTGACAGATCATTCTCTGGGGGTTGAAACCACCAGCCAGTTATGAACTGGGATGTTTACTGCCCAGTTTTTCTTGCCATCGGTCCTGTGACAGGAGCAGGTTTGAGCTCGGAGGACGGCAGCGCTGCATGGGCCGCAGTACCTGCAAAGCTTCGTGGTGGCAAGTCCAGCTATAGCAGCCATGTAGGGTATGTTTGGGTACATGATGGTACATGTGAATAGCAGATGTTACAATAGAATTGAGTGAATGAATGTGAATGAACATTCATTTTCGACCATCCTATCTCGTTTTGGGGGGTGGGATGGGACCGGATGGGATGGTGTTTTTTCGTTACGTAGATGTCGTAGATGTAGGTCAAACATGGTCAAACTGAGCATGAATCAGGATCCTTTCACTGGAGCCTGGAGCGAAACAGCAGCAGAGACACACCCTGGCTGAACAAAGGATCCAGGAATATCCAGGACCTCAAGGGTTCCACAATTTTTGCATCTTACAGACTTCGGTAATCAAACATGGCTAGTTGGGGAAATCCCCCCCCTAAATGGAACAATGAATCAATGGATCCAATGAATTTGAATGGGGGATGTTTTAGTACTGGTATGCTGATTCGTGATGTTCTCGAAGCCTCATTTTTGCTGGTCAAACTCCAATTTTGGCGAGTTGAATACAAGATAGGCGAAGCCATCTCAAGTCCACATATTTCATCCATTTTTTGGGAGAGTTTCACTGAACAGTCCCAATATTTGGAAGGATTCATCTCAGATTTCCGTAAGTTTTTCTTAGTTTCACTGAAATGCTCCTTTTTTTTCCACAGTTGTTCCCAACTTCACCAATTTCTTTCCCCCAAGATCCCCAAGGCTGACCGAAGCCCTGGGTTCCCAGCGACGGAGGGCATTGGAATTGGACCTGGCTGAGGGACAGGACGTGCTACCTGCGCAGATGGCCGTTTTTTTGGGGGGAAGGGGAACGTTTATGTTGGAATTGCATGATTATCCAAAAATTGTATATGATTTTCATCATTGCAGAAGTATTACCCTCTGGTAAACTAACATAGCTATTGAAAATGGCCATCTATAGTGGATTTTCCCATCCAAAATGGTGATTTTCCATAGCTATGTTAAATTACCAGAGGGTATATATGATTTTCATCATTATTGCAGAAGTGTATTATACGTTGTTTTCCATGTTTTTCTAATCAGAACCCTATCCCGGAATTGGATGAGGGGGAAAATCTACAAACACGAGATTTGATGGTAGTTTCTCTAGGTTTGCCTGTAGATTTTCCTTCAAACCAGTCCAAAGACCTTAGAATTGTTGCAAAGGAATCCCTGAGATGACTATATAGTGTCTTGTTCATATCCGAACACCTTTGCGAATCTACCTTTGAGATAGATGATCGTAGATGATTCCCCTTTTTGTTTGTGGAAAAAAATCATAAGGAGAGTGACTGGCACTTTTTGCATTTCCTTTGCCAGGGGCCCAGCACGAATACTTAACATGACCAACATGTCAAGAATTCACTGCTAGGTTTGAGGCTGAACATGCAGCCAGCTTTACAGAATCTAATAGAATCCAAATGGAACCAGTCAATTTGAGTATGGTTCAAGATCAACTTGACCAGGTTTTTGTTGTGAAATTTCCCCCAGTCGGTTTTGGTCATCGTCCAGGACTGCCGCGCAGCCAATGGGACTCGCAAGCACCGTGTGCGTGTGAGGCGACAGAGCTGGTAATTCACATGTGGTTTGTATTTATGCCTATATTTTATAGACGAGTAACCAGTTGATGGTTTTAATACTTATTGTTTTTGAACAACTATACTTGTATGATTGGTTGAAAGTTCTAATATTTTTGGGTTGAGCGAAAATCCCCATATATCTTAACATCTAGTTACCTCCAAACATATAGAAAAGAAAATACCCATTAATCTGATGATGATTTACTTTTCTATTATACCTGAAGAGTAAATATGCGAGATGCCCTTCATTTTCCACAGGAAAATGATTGCCTAGCGAGGTGATATACGTTTTTTTAATAAGGATCCTCCATCCAGTCTTCCCGGGTACCGTACTCTTTGAACCGTTCAGAATCACTATGAGGTCGTTTTTTTTAGTTCATATTTAGTTCATCATTATCAGTATATCATGTCTAGTCATGCATTCCCTGCAACAAATGGATTTGTCTGAAACTAGGCTACCCCGAAACCCACTGGTTTATCATCATTTCCTTATCAAAATCGAAACAACAACTGAGAACATTGGATACACCCAATTTTTAGACAACCCGTATCCATGATTCAATGGTAAAAAATCCATATGTTTGCTGCTTGAAACCAATGAGATCACTAAACAATCCCCAGCGTGGCTAAATTGCTGGGTAAGTTAAAATCAGCTAAACCAAGGTAACATGAGCTAAGATCAGTCAAAATCAGCCAAACTCATTTATATCCTTTTGACACCATTTAAAGTCATTGAAATATCATCGAACATTGTTGTGGACTATCGAACGTCATTGAAAATCAATGAAAAGCATTGAACACGTAAGGAGAATTATTAAAACATGTTGAAAGCTGTTGAACATCAGTGAAAATCATTCAACAGACATTGAACATATATTCAAAAAATGAAACACATTTATGACCAGCGATCTTCATTGAAACAGATTAAAAACTTCGATCATCATTGAAGATCATTGAAACATATCGCTTTCAACCAGCCAAAAAAGAAGAAGAAGAAAGCGATCGAACATTGTTTTGAGTTACCCTCTGGTAAATTAACGTAGCTATGGAAAATCACCATTTTTAATGGGAAAATCCACTATAAATGGTCATTTTCAATAGCTATGTTAGTCATTACCAGAGGGTAAATCCCATTAGATCCCATTAAACCACCATAAATCCCATTAAATCCCATTAAAATGACCATTTATTAGTCATCCAGCCACATTTTTGGGGTAAACTTTACCCAACCACCGTGGTCGTGTCGCGTTCGCGTTACGCGCCAGGTGGCTGTGCCCTGCGACCTGGCGTTCCACGGCGCCGGATTTGGATGGAGGTCATAGCGCCCTGCTGGCAGTGGAGCGGCCGAGCGGTGACCTGGCGGAGAGCGTGGGATGCGGGGAGATTTTTATATCTATAATATATGGGTGTTATAAATATTTAATATCCCTATATATGGGATATTTTTATACTATATATCGGATGGAGTTTTATACCTATAAGTAATTAATATATTAATATGGGTGTTATAAATGTTTAATAATGTTTAATAATGTTTATTATATATATAACATGTATTATACACAGTATATATAATTATATACTATGAGATGGCGATGGAGAGAGAGATATGATTTGCACATTACATATACAGTACATGATAGTATTGGGGGTTCAGTTGCCAATGGACTTTCTGAGGACATAAGTATGAAACGATGAGTTTTGATTGAAATACGTGATTCTGTTTCAGGATTTTACTCCCTATGAATCAAGCCTTATGAAAATCTGGTTGGTGGTTTGGAACATTTTGGAATTTCCCATCATATATGGGATAATCCCATTGACTTTCATATGTTTCAAGATGGTTAAAACCACCAGCCAGTGATGATTTTTGGATTAACCACTATTAACCATTATTAACCATTATTAACCATTATTAACCATTATTAACCATTATTCACCATTATTAACCATTGTAAATATAATCATTGGGTGGCGTTGAAAAAAACCCGGCTGAGTTCCATGGTGCTCTCAGGCTGCGACTGGGTGGTCTGGGTGACCTCCACCCTACTTTGCACCTGGCGTCCCTTGCGCCCCGCCGCGTCGAGCGCGCAAGAAGTGCAGTGCCAGGTGGAACAGCAGGTGCGGTAGAAAATTGTGAAGGGGGTGGGGTAGAAACCAGAGAATGGATATGATATGATATATGATATGATATATGATATATGATATGATATGATATGATATGATGTATCTATAGTATTTGGTTTTATGTATTTTTGATAGTTTTGTCAATATAATTTGGTTGATGTATTCGATGCATTTGGCCAAATATCCCCATCAGAGAATGGTTCCGATACAGTCTCTGAATGTATTTGATTGGACCCCCCTTGGTATCACCAGTTTTCCTTCCTTCAGGAGCAGTACATAGTGCCAACCGGGATTTTGATATGTTGCTGGTACCAACAGATTTTACAGATCTAAATTTATGAATATTTAAAATCTATTATGTTTTAATTATATATATATATATTATATGTTGGTCGGTGGCCTGGTGGCTAGCCACCTATCCTAGACCATAGGTCTCGATATCTCTGACCGTGCCGCAGGTGCCATCGCCGGCCCCTAAGAAAGCAGAAAGCAGCTTGGATGAACTATATGATGATTATATCCTACATGATTAAATTGGGATTATCCCATTATAATATATTATAATCCCATTATTGATGATTATCCCATGATATTTCACGTAGGAAATAAGGGAGCGATCTCACCAAAATGTCACCATAAGTGATGGTTGGGGGGCCAGGAACAAGCCAGAAATCACTACATCAACTTGAGATTAGTGATGCCGTTTTCTTTTTCAATGATCAGAGTCTTGATGGTTTTCCCGACCTTGTAAGGATAATAATAGGGATATTGTTTTTACGGAAAGCCGGAAAGCGCCATGCAAGCAATAATCACAAAACATCTTGCCATCAAAAACCCCTCATATACTCATTACACAATGTCAAATACCCGGTAAATATATGTAAATATCATAAGATCCCATTACAATTCCACATATGCACCAATCAACAGCAAAGTCCTGAACTGGCTTCTGGCCGATCAGGTGACACGCCTGTGCGCCCCGCTGAGCCAAAGCTGCCCGTGGCCTTTGAAGTTCACGGCGATGCTGGGCAGGGTGGTGAATTGTTGGTGATGTTTCCATAATTCCTTAGCATAGGATATCTATTGTTGGTGTTATTTAAGGAACCAGTTGAACTTATTTAGTTGTTGTTGTTAAACACAACCTGTTTTGGGTTTTAGTTATCACTTAATACCACTTGATTTGATGATGATGAAATACTGATTCACAATGCAGATGATTCTGTGTGCAGAATAATATGCATACAATAACATCATACAACAGTTATCAATATAATTTTATGTGCATGTCAAATGTATAGTATGTAATATCCAATATCCGTATGTAATATCCGTATACGTATGTGTGTGTACTTTCCATTGCCAGATGGCTGCTTGATGTTGATACTATCCCTTGATCTCCTAGATCCAAGCGGGTCGCAGCGTGACAAGAGCCCAGGATCGGACGGGCGTCAAATTTCACGTGGGGCAGCTGCTGGGTCGCATTGGGAAGACCAGGGCCGGAGATGCGCAAGCCTCCAGGGCTAGCATAACTAATAAAGAAGCTTTGGCATTACCCATCATGACTCATTCATCTAAAGCCAGAGAGAGAATTTGATTGAGCAGTTCTCTAACCTGCTTCCATGCACACTGACAAATGTGGACATACCCTGTATAGACTTGTATAGTTTTCTTAGGGTGAGTAATGTGAGTCAGTAGACTTTCAACGCATATACTGTCAGCAACCCCTCGATTAGCCGCTAGCCCTATGGCTCATTGACAGTGGAGTTGCGGTGGACTGTGGTTCCGTACCTGGGCCAAACCTGCAAGACTTACGTGTATGTCTCAAAACTGAACACCAAGAAAAACATGCTATATATAGATATAAAATGTATACTGTATATATATATACACTATTATATACATATAATAGTGTATATATGTATGTATCCCCTTGGAATGGTCATATGGGGGGTTCATATATTTTTTTTCCAGGGGTCCAACCCCACCCCCTGGCACCAGACGGCTGTCTTAGAGTCTAGACTTAAAGATTAACAAATTGAAACTTAAATCGCATATATGTATGTACAGAGATATATGTAATATTATATGTAATAATAATGATGATATTGATTACTAGTAATAATAGTTTTACTCTACATATATGTTTGTTCTTTGCAAAGTGACCCCGAGCCATGTTTGTTTTGGATACCCTTCCCTGGCCAGGTTGGTCGGCGTCTCCGACGGCACCGTGGCGGTGGTGCTCGCTTGGGATGTGGAGCCTCGGGAGGATGTGCCCGGCGCTGAGGTGTCGATGGCTGCATGCATGGTATATATATATATATGTATATATATATATATATATGTATATATATACATAAATCTGTTTTTTTGGGCGGGGTGATGCTCCACATTCAGCAAGTAATGTATATATATATATTTGTATGTATGTATGTATGTATGTATGTATGTAATGTATGTATGTATGTATGTAATGTATGTAAGTAAGTATGTATGTATGTATGTATGTATGTAATGTATGTATTAATGTATGTATGTATGTATGTAATGTATGTATGTATGTATGTATGTATGTAATGTATGTATGTATGTATGTATGCATGTAATGCATGCATGTATGATGTATGTAATGTATGTATGTAATGTATGTATGTAATGTATGTATGTAATGTATGTATGTAATGTATGGTTATGTAATGTATGGTTATGTAATGTATGGGCTATCGCTACCACTCCGTCCCCCACTGGTTAGTAATGTATGGTCGACCCTTCCGTAATGTATGCGTTACTTGTAATGTAATGGTATGTAATGGTATGTAATGGTATGTAATGGTATGGTTATGTAATGGTATGTAATGGTATGGTTATGTAATGGTTATGTAATGTAATGGTTATGTAATGGTTATGTAATGTAATGGTTATGTAATGGTTATGTAATGGTAATGTAATGGTAATGTAATGTAATGGTAATGTAATGGTAATGTAATGTAATGTAATGGTAATGTAATGTAATGTAATGGTAATGTAATGTTATGTAATGTTATGTAATGTTATGTAATGTTATGTAATGTTATGTAATGTTATGTAATGTTATGTAATGTTATGTAATGTAATGTTATGTCGTCCAAGGCCGTCATTTATGTAGAGCGCAGACAATGGGAGGTACCCCCACCCCAACCCAAAACCGGTAATGTATTTAATTACATGTATGTAATGTATGTAATGTATGTAATGTATGTAATGGTATGTATGTATGTAATGTATGTAA